CTAAGAGCTATGAGAGCTAAGACAGCGCCAGAACAGCTAAGAGCTATGAGAGCTAAGACAGCGCCAGAACAGCTAAGAGCTATGAGAGCTAAGGCAGCGCCAGAACAGCCTAAGAGCTATGAGAGCTAAGACAGCGCCAGAACAGCTAAGAGCTATGAGAGCTAAGACAGCGCCAGAACAGCTTAAGAGCTATGAAAGCTAAGGCAGCGCCGGAACAGCTAAGAGCTATGAGAGCTAAGACAGCGCCAGAACAGCTTAAGAGCTATGAGCGCTAAGGTGGCGCGTATCTATTGTACTATGTGTTATGTATGCACGACAATGTGAGGCTCTGTCGCCGCGTAGCGGGAAGAGATGTCGGTCGTTAATACGCCCCTGCTTCATCATCCAGTCATACGCTCGGTCCTATACACATCTACGCACGCACACGGGGAGGCGCGCACGTACTCACGCATAAGCGCATGTTGTAAACACGCACGTATTCACGCGTACACATATTAAACTTACACACCTAAGTTGTGAAAAATATAGTCGTGCCTGGACAACAATAATATATAGTCCCGATCAAAAACAAAACTAAGTTATATAATGGGAGCAAAACGAACATAGCTTTGACCAGCGAGGCGGATTACCAAAGGTAATAACGTTCTTGGTTTGTGATGTTGTTGTGGGAGTGTTTTAGCCTGTCTAGCTTCTCGTATTATTGAGATGCATTACTCACGAACTTCTTATGAGACACGTACGCATAGCTATCTGGGACCGATTATTTTTACTATTCTTTACTAGTACCTCCATGCGGCCAGGCGCCAACAGGAGCTAAATACGATAAAACGATATTCAGTAGTCGCTGAATGAATGCATGTACGACGCTTGCTCTCAATTGTAAAAACCAGATGCACGGAATTTTGTTCCTCAAGCGAAATTTGCTAACGCTTATCAATAAAAAGAAATTACCCATTTGAAATGCCATTAATTTGATTAAATAATTAGCCTAAATTTTGCCAACATTTGCTTAAATTTGTAAAAGCAATTAACTGTTTCTGAAATAATTAATGCGGTTATCGAATAGTGCTGAGTGCGTGTGTTGATTTAATATCTCACATGGTAATTTGCGTAATTAGTGGAAAGTTTTCTGAATAAAATGTTGACAGACCTATTTTTTCTAAATTTAATAACTGGTCCTAGCATGTTTTCTATCTTATTATTTATATAGTAAAAATTTTATTGACACAAAATTTCCCAACAATGATATGGCTAATGCGGAACGTATTAATATTGGCTTTTGTTATAAAAATTATTAGAAATGAAATGTTTAGTTAATAGATGAGTTTGTTAATTCGGAAAATGCAAGATGGCTTATCAAATAAGCGTGAAAGAGCTACAGCGTGTGAAAGAGAGAGAGAGAGAGAGAGAGAGAGAGAGAGAGAGAGAGAGGCAAACAGAGAGAGAATGAAATTGCGCGAGAAAGGGAGAGCGGGCGGGCAAGAGGAGTGCGGGCGAGATAAACACACACATACGCACGCACACACGCACGCACACACACACGCACTCACACACACACGCACACACACACCACAACACACACACACACACACACACACACACACACACACACACACACACACACACACACACACACACACACAGCGAGAGAGAGAGAGAGATAGAGACAGAGAGAAGACAGAGAGAGAGAGAGAGAGAAGAAAAGCGCGGAGCGGCGAGAGGAGAGAGAGAGAGAGAGAGAGAAGAGAGAGAGAGAAGAGATGAGAGCGAGAGAGAGAGAGAGAGTGAGAGAGAGAGAGAGAGAGAGAGAGAGAGAGAGCGAGCGAGATGGAGAGAGCGAGGGGGGAGATGAGCAAGCGAGACGGACGGAGAGTGCTAGACACTTTGCTGTGATCAGTGTCAAGACTTGCTGAATACTAAATTCTGATGTCTCGGTGCCGCGTACTGTAATGCAAGCTAATGCAGTAAGGCAGAACTATCGCGCGAGTCTGTAACGTAAAAACATGTGGCATTGCCTGACGCGTGAAATTCAATTGCAACACGCTTTGTAGAGATTTTCAACAGGTTCTAATTATTGAAATAATCCATATGGAGATGGTGACGCTTTTGTACTAATGAAACCTGACTAGCTTAGCAATCGATTATTCATATGGCTTATTCTCGGGTTTAGTATTGTAGGGCCTACGTCTATGTTTTTGGTGCAGCTTATGGTATAATGTGTCCCAATCTCGGATTATGTCACTGCGGCTAAGACCTGGATTTTAATGCATTATGCATTTCTTCTAAGTTCTGTCTTACTTGTCGGATATTTTAACTTTAGAGAGAGCCTTGTGGCTTGTAGATACACGTTAATGCAGTCACAGTCTACGTTCTAGTGAAAAGTGTACCATCGTTTCTATAATGTCTCTATCATCTCGATTCCATTAAGACTCTAGATCACGAATTACATGCAAGTACATGTAAACCTTATTACGTGTAAGTCCGAGTTATTATTTTAAGTGTTTTATTAGGCTACATCGTCTCAGTCTTGCGTTTAAATAAAGTCCCAGTCCCGGTTCTAACATGAATTGTCCCCGTGCCAGCGCTAGCGCGCGTTCGTTCGTCGTAGCCACATGTATGTTGGGGCTCACTGGGAATTGCCTGACGTTTCCTAGATTAATAATCGACAAAGGATGTTACACTTCAAGACCGTCGTTGCAATTCCCCAGCGGCTGTATTGGCACGGTTCTCTCATATAATATGCAAACGTAATAAGCAACATGTAGAATATTTTCCATGACGCAAACTGGTGATAGCTCAATATATTTCTCGCGTGGTCCGTCATGTATTGACTAAGCCCGGAGCCAGCTAGCCATCTCACAGTGGCCTTACCTGAGACTAATTGGCTCACCTGTCCCGAGGTATTACCTGCGTGAATAGCATACACAGCCGTACGTCCGTGACATCAACTGTATCTCCGTCAGCAAACACGCAGCTGCTATACGCGCCCATATATTTGTACGCATTTTTTCGTCTGCATATATATATATATATATATGCAACGCGGCGCGGTGGCAACGTCTAACCAGTATTGAACCGACCGAGAGTCGGCTGCGATATAACTATCCGTCACCGGTTTTTCCCGCACGAATGCGTTGCACCCTCACCTCTCCGCCATGTCGTGAGAGCTTTTCGCTGCTACGAAATCCACTGGTAATCGTATAGTTGACGTCTGTGCTAACGAGAGAGAGAGAGAGAGAGAGAGAGAGAGAGAGAGAGAGAGAGAGAGAGGAGAGAGAGAGAGAGAGAGAGAGAGAGAGAGAGAGAGAGAGAGAGAGAGAGAGAGAGAGAGAGAGAGAGGAGGAGCACAACACTGAGATCGAGCG